AGCACATATCTATGGTACTTGATGCGGCCCACCGCACACCTATCGTAGATCACGACATTTCGGCATTATTCCTTCCCAATACTCCAACCTCATGCCTAAGTCCAAAACGCACCGAGCCAAAGTTAAATATCAAGCTCGCAAGCTACTTGCCGAGTTGTGCTTGCGGATTTCCTCCACACTCATCCAACGCAGGGATCAGAAGAAACAGGGTTTGAGGCTACTCACATAGCCCTGAGCCAAACGCGTACCACCATCGGGCTCTAAGGTCCGCTAATCACTCGTGTACGTCATCGCACGTATCCCCGGGTAGGATCGCGTAGATCCTGCGACCCGAAATTCTGCGATTAAGTCCCGCTATATCCGGACAATTTTATTATAAACACCTGTGATTTGCCGGGACGTAACAGTAGATAGCAAAGCGGATTCTTACGACGCGGAATAACTCGCCGGTTCGCCAGCGTTCGTTCGTGTGGTTTTCGGGAGACTCCAAATTAACAAAAGCAAATTAAAGAAACAAAATAAATATTTATTCAAGAGAGCATTTGGATTAATGATAGTGTTGCGCCCGTACTATTTTGCCGCTGATGCTGTGTGTGTTACAGCTGACGGACCGATCGATAATATCGATCGGTCATTAGAGAGTTGAAGCCAAATGGCATTTATTAATAATCTTTCTTATATTCGTTGTCAAGACAACGAATATTGATTAACAGTTTAAAGGGTCTCTATGACAGTTATAAACAAACTGTCATATGTCAGATCTGAGATAGCTGTCTGCTCGGGCGGACGTATACGACAGCTCCGGTCTTTAAATCATATTTCTGGTTTCTTATTGTAAGAGTTACTGTTGAGTTACTGTTTTTATTAAAGTGTTCTCTGTTTATTCGAAGTGTTGTGTTGTGTTGTTTGATTTCGTGAGTTTCGTTGTCGTGCGTGAAATACCGGTTCACGGACGCAACAATATAATTATAAAGGTATAAACAATGAGTACATAAGTATTTCCCTATCGGTTAATCTATCTAATAATTTTAACGGTATAAATGTGTATAAATATCGGAAATAATCGTGAACGAATGGATAACTATCGGAAATAATCGTAACCGAATGGATAAACAAGTAAACTGCGTAAATTATTAAACGTGTTGCGCCTTTGGCCGAAATTAAACAACTTAAACTATTTAGTCTTAAACTAAATTTGGTCGGTAATTAGAAAAACACGGTAAAGATAACATAAACGTAGAAGTATAATTAACCCTAAGTCGGTCGGTTTTGGTACGACACGAAGTAAAAGTATTAAAAAATAAGCGATACCGCGTATGTCCGAGCCTTGCCGAGTCATCGACGGTTGCCGGTGCGCTGTGTCCGAAGACAGAGAGAATCTTCTCTCGTGCGAGGGATATAAGAAGTCAAACGCCGGGAACACCCGACCGAAGCGGGGAACGCCCTGCTCCTGGAACGACGAGAGGTCGGAAGTCGAACGCCGGGAACACCCGGCCGAAGCAGAGAACGCCCTGCTCCTGGAACGACGGACGGGATGGGAGCGAGTACGACCGGAGCTTCAGAGTGCGCCCTGAGGCTTGTCCGAATCGTACTCGGGGGAATGGTCTCAGTCTGCTTTGCGAGCCGGCTTTTATATCGGTCGCGCTACCCCCACTTGGGGTGCTACCCTATCCGGCAGCTACCCTTTCTCGAGCTACTACCCTCGAGTTGGGGGATCGGAATGCGGCCCGTAATGGGGGGGTGTTTACATGAAGCCCGAGTGGTGCTTAGTAACAGCGCGTGCTGTTACAACATGACAAAGCTATAATATTTACAAATGGAATTTGTAATCGGTACATTTCTTTTTTAAATGCTCCAAATAATTCCTCCGCGCTGCTATTTTGTGCTGTAATATTTATTAATTTTACTAATTGCGACAGAATTTCGTAAGTATCAGGATCAACAAATCTAACAATAAATGTCATTCACTTCTTGTTGCTTATATCAAATATTTTATCAATAAAAACTGAAAATTTCGTATTTTGTACGCTGTTGACCACACGCTGCGTTTCGACAGGACATAATACGTTAGTAATAATATATGTACATTTAGTTCGACCCATACTCATATTTTGCAACACCTTAGCATCTTTTTTTACTTCTTGAAAAAATGTAAGCAATTTTTTTGCCGTTTCATGTGAAATGTTTCCGGGAGTTGAACCACCCACCGGGCGCGTCTCCAAGGCGGCGGATAGGAGGACGCCCAGTAGGTGTGAGCCCCTTAAGGGGACTCAGTGCTGCTGGGTAGTGGCGGTTATAACCAGGCCCCACGGAAGTAAGACCCCGTGGAGGGTAAGAGAAGGCCGTTGCCGCGGACCAGCTCCCCAAGCCAAGTTGTAAGCCATCGTAGCGATGGCTGCATGTTACTGGGGGAGCAGTGTCGCGAACGATGCCTCTGGGGAACCGGGCGAAACCCCAGAGTATCCAGCCTTACCCACGCATGCGGGGCTCTGCGTGGGCGGACCGTGTAATTCTCTAGCTACTCGTAAGACCACAATGGAAATTAACAATCTAAACTCAGAAAACAAAGTGGGAGATTGGGAGGGCTCGCGTGACGGGTTTCCGAGGGAAGGGGCTGGGACGGCGGTGACGAATGGGACCTTTAAGGGCTCCGAAAGTGAAGCCGGCCCGGCTGCGCGGCAGAAGGCTTCACCTCCTTTTAAAAAGAACCGGTGCGGGGCCGAAAGAAGGAGGGCGAAGCGGATGAGAGCAGGGGCTCCGGAAGGGGCTCGCTCTCTCCCCGTGACTCGCCCTTGTACGCCGGTGGAGGTGGTGAAAGGGCACACCGTCGGAAGGGCTCCAATGAAACCCCTCCATCGGGCGGCCGCCTGTTAAAAAGGCAAAGGGCTCATGATAGGCACCATGCCTATGCAGACGCTGCCAACCCTCTGGCGAGGGTGATTGTGGCGGAGGGCTATCCCGAGGCAGAGATCACCGCAGAGCAGTTGACTCTGCTGAAGAGTGCGGTCTCGAAAGAGATCGACGGGATCCAAGAGGGTCCGGTGCCCAGATTCTACGGCACCTCTCTAAAGAGTGGGGCGGCGGTGGTAAGATGTGCGGACGAGGCGTCGCTGGGCTGGCTCGTGGAGCGGATCGGCGGCATCACTCCGTGGGAGGGCGCCAGGCTCAAGATGGTGGGCATGGACGCGCTTCAAAGGCAGCACAGGGCGGTGGTTTGGGTCCCGGGACCTCCCGAGGGCGCAGCCATGGTCTTGAAACGGCTGGAGAGGCAGAACCCGGGTCTTGTCACCGGAAGCTGGAAGGTATTCCCGGAGGGAGTAGGGGCCACCAAGGAAGGTGGGAATCTAGTCCTCGGCGTCCCGGAGTCTAGTGTCCTCAAATTGAGGACGCTGGACTTCAAACCATTCTTTGGGCTCGATAGAATTGCCTTTTGGGTAAGTTTGGCCCAAGGGGGGGGTAAGGGGGGATAAAGAGGAGCCCCCTAAAACAGTCTCGTAGTTAAATGGCGGGATCGAGAAGGGTGGCCTTCACCCAGATTAATCTGCATCACAGCAAAAGGGCCTCGGCTGTTTTGGCCAGGCAACAAGCTAGGAAACAAACATGCATATTACTGATGCAAGAACCCTGGGTAATCCGGGGTTGCAGCAAGGACTTGGCGGCTTGCGGTAGGCTATTTAGGGCCCCATCAGTGGATCGGCCCAGGGCCTGCGTGGCCGTCAAGAGTATGGAAGCCCAGCTAATACCTCACCTGTGTTCCAGGGACGTTGCGGCTGTAGAAGTGGATTTCACTGCTGACTCCGGTGATAGGAAGAAAATGGTTGTTTGCTCGGCCTACTTCTCGCATGACGAGGGGGAGGCAGTGCCGCCTGCACCGGTGATAAAACTGGCAGAATACTGCCAAGAGAAACGGCTTCCCCTAATCATGGGATGTGACGCTAACGTGCATCACACTGTGTGGGGAAGCTCTGACACCAACGAAAGAGGAAGGAAAGTGTTGGAGTTCTTAGCATCCACGGATCTGGAGATTCTCAACACGGGAGACGAGCCAACCTTCTGCACTATAACGAGAAGAAAAGTGCTCGACATCACTGTCTGCTCCAAGCAGTTGATACAGGAGGTAGTGGAGTGGAGGGTCTCGACGGAACCTTTGCTCTCGGACCACAGGCAGATCACCTTCAGGATAGGTAAGGCTAGGGGGAAGGAGGTCAAGTTCAGGAACCCGAGGAGAACCAAGTGAGACTCTTATAGGAAAGACCTGGCCAGTAGTCTCAGAGGCTTCCCTAAGAGGCACGGGACAGAAGACGAACTGGAGACCTGTGTGGACTACTTGCAGAGGTCTCTGGTAAACTGCTACGAAAGTAATTGCCCCGAAAGGGCGGTTACAAATAGTAGACGAACTTCCTGGTAGACCCCTGGACTGCAGAGTCTTAAAGTGGCGGCTCGCAGGGTCTGGAATAGAGCTAGGAACACGGGCCGCCAATCCGACTAAGAGCTCTCTAGGAGGGCACAGAAGGAGTATAGAGACTCTGTGGTTAGGGCGAAACTGGAAAGCTGGAGGAAGTTTTGCGAGGAAGTGGAAGGAATGCCCGAAACGGCAAGAATCTGCAGGATCCTCGCTAGGAACCCGGATGTGACCCCTGGAAGCCATCGCACTCCCTGATGGGACGGTGGTGACTGGAGAGCGATGTCTGGAGCATCTACTGGAAGTGAGCTTTCCGGGCTTCCATAGGGAGCCGGGAGAGCTATTTGCATATAAGAAGCCGGGCTCACTCAGAAGAGCCCGACAAGCAGATTGGCAAATGGCGGCCAAGATTGTTATGCCCGAGAAGGTTAAATGGGCAATTAACACCTTTAAGCCTTACAAGTCAGCGGGACCGGATGGCGTCTTTCCGGCTCTTCTACAAGAGGGACTGGAACAGATCGTGGGTCCACTGACTCGAACCTGAAGAGCATGTATCGCGATGGGCTACACACCCAGCGCATGAAAACTGGCCAGGGTAATGTTCATCCCAAAGGCGGAAAGAACGAGCTACACCAAGTCAAAGGACTTCAGGCCAATTAGCCTAACATCGTTTCTCCTTAAGACATTGGAGAAGCTGGTGGACGCGTATCTGAGGGAGACAACTCTGTGGAGGTATTCTTTCCATAAAAATCAGCACGTGTATCGTCCGGGCTATTCCACCGAGACTGCTGTACATCAGACGGTAGCGTTTATTGAGGAGCAGCTGGAAAGAAAGGGCTACGCAGTGGGTGCTTTCTTGGACATAGAGGGCGCCTTTAACAACACACCGCACGAGGTAGTGTGTGAGGAAGCCGCCAGAAGAGGTGTTCCGATGAAGCTCGTCGAGTGAATCCGGGGCATGCTAGGAAGGCGTGTGATGACTTCGCTGGGAACTGCGAAGGTTTGTGGTTGGGTGGGAAGAGGCTGCCCGCAGTACTTTCCCCACTTTTATGGTGCCTCGTAGCAGACGGATTATTAAAGGCACTAGACGATGGAGGCTTTACTGCACAAGGCTACGCGGATGACGTGGCAATACTTGTGCGAGGCCTTTTTCTAGAGACGCTTTTAGAGCTCATGCAGAGGGCACTGGAAGTCGTAGAGGAGTGGTGTCAGAGAACGGATTTGGCGGTGAATCCACTAAAAACCGGTCTTACTGTCTTCACTCGCAAATACAAGGTGGGCACCATTGTGGGACCCACTCTTGGAAGAGTAAGGTTAATTCCGACCGAATCAGTAAAATATCTGGGAGTTATCCTGGATAGGAAACTGCTTTGGGAGGAACACCTTCGTAGCCGATGCAAAAGCTTGTGCCAGTATTTTTGGATGTGCAGAAGGACCTTTGGCCAGACTTGGGGTTTGAAACCGAGTATGATACACTGTATCTACACAGCCATACTTCGCCCCAGACTCACATACGCAGCCGTAGTATGGTGGACTAGGGTGCGAAAAAAAACAGCCAAAGTTGCGCTGAAGCATGTCAGGGTTCTGATTTTGAGAGGGGCCCTGGGTGCTATGGTTACAACACCAGTGGCGGCGATGGGCGTAATGTTCGGCATCAAGCCGTTTCACCAGGTGGTGGTGGCTGCTGCAGCAATGGCGGCATACCATCTGAGATGCGAACTAAAATGGAAGAAGGAAGCCTGGCATAGGAGGCTACCAGAAGACGTTCTGTTGGATTCAATATTCGAGATGCGACAGGACAGAATATCTATTATTCGGGCTTCTGATAGGCGCTTTAAAGTGCATATACCGAGGCCGGAGGAGTGGGAAAAGGAAGGTGGAAACTTAGGGGCTCGAGTGCGTGGAGGGGATGTCTGGTATACGGACGGCTCCAAGACGGACACGGGCTCCGGGGCCGGCTTCTTTGGCAGTCGAGAGGGATGGAAGGAGAGCATTTCTCTCGACAGTTATGCCACGGTATTCCAAGCGGAGATTGTGGCTATCCTAAGCTGTGCTCAGACCGTGCGGAGTAGGGAAGAAGCGGGAGAGCACATCAGAATTTGTACGGACAGCCAGGCAGCCATCAAGGCACTGGGGGCTCCGACAATAACATTGCGGTTGGTTCAGAAGTGCAGAGGCGTTCTGGACGAATTGGCGAAAG